CAAGATGAAAAGTTAAGGATAGTTGTTCCCACTATGATGTACTATGTATCTTGGGCCACACTCCCTTCTCTACTAACATGCAGAGAAACACACAAACACACCACTGTTTAACAAATTCATGGAGCACCAACGATACCACATGTTTGATGTTGGGTATATTCACATAAATAAATAAGATACATTCTCAGCCCATGTTAAGCTCTTTGTATATGAGTGGGGCAAGTGCAGAGAGAGAGGGAGAGAGCGAATATCAAGCAGGGTCCACGCTCAGCATGGAGCTCGATGTGGGGCTCAGTCCCATGACTGGGAGATCATAACCTGAAGTGAAATCAAGAGTTGGAGGCTTAACTGACTGAGCCAAGAAGGCGTCCCTATGTTGATTTTTCTGTATCTCTCACAATGTTTGCTTTTTGTCCCATACAATCTGGCCTGGGATTGTATCATGCTGAGAGTTTACTTGAAATCTGTTTGAAGTAGTCTTTATCATTTGGTTGCTTGTGAGTTTGGGTTCCCTCTAAATGTTCTCTGTAAGGGGCGCCTGGGTGGCTCAGTCGGTTAAGCATCCGACTTTGGCCCAGGTCATGATCTCATGGTTCGTGAGTTCAAGCCCCAAACTGGGCTCTGTGCTGACAGCTCAGAGCTTGGAGCCTACTTCCGATTCTGTGTCTCCCTCTTTCTCAGCCCCTCTCCTGCTCTCTCTCTCTCTCTCTCTCTCTCTCTCTCTCTCTCAAAAATAAATAAACATTTAAAAAAATTTTTTTTTAAGTTTAAACATTCTCTATGAAATACCTATTCCTGTTGCTTGGCTGTCTCACTAAGCTGACTACGCTCTGGCTATGTTCTCTCTGTTGACTACATTCCCTGCCATAGTGAGGAATAGCTACATTCAGCTTTTACTGACCTAAAGATTTGCTTCCTTTCACAGTTCCTAGACTCTTCCAGTGTAGAACTACACAGCAGCTTACCACTCCCTAGGCTCAATGTTCTGAAGTCATGTGATAATAAAGGTAGGAACTAGTATTTCCAGTGGAAATTAATACTCCAAATGTGTACTGACTATGAGATAGGTACTGAGTATGACAGAAGAGTTTTACTCTGGAGTATACTTCTTTGATCTGTGTTTGAGGATAACAAAGACAGCCTCATAGGATTTTCAGGTAGACTGGTGAATTCTCCAAATGCTATAGTTTCTGGGGTCAGCCATAACATTAGTTTTCTGGCATTCCTTTCATGGAATGAGAAGGATCCTATGCACAATTTTTTTTTCAAAAACAACTTCACAGGTAGATATTGTAATATTGTGTAAATATCCCATGAGTTTTGATGAACTTGTTAAGATCCTTATACAGTATACTCATCACCATAAATTGATCAAATATTGACAATACTCCTCTGAATGAATGCATTGCTCATTGCTGTATAGTCCATCCAGTGACATAATCATAGAAGACAAATATGAAATGGATCACTAGAATTGAATCTCCAAAGGATGTATCTCAGAATTTTCCTTTTATTCCTTTGCATGCTAAGCATTTATGCCTGGAATTAAAGTCACGCTTAAGGAGAGGGTTAAAAGAATAACTTGAGAGAGAACCAATACTTATTGAGCACTCACTACGAGTCAGGTATAGCTCTTTATAAATATCTGATTTGATCTTCACAAAATTCTTATAGATTATAATTTTTATTTTATGGTTGAGGAACCATGTAGTTTCCTCTACATAAGAAAAATTAAGTTGAAAAGTTGCATTTAATTAAATCTTGGTCTTCATGTCAAAACCACCTCTATTTAAAATATTTCAATTCATTCACTCAACAGCCAACATTTAAAAGATTTGCTTTGTGGAGACTGTTGTATTAAGCCTACACCTATACTGATCATTCTCTATCATCCTGTCCTGAGCAAAGAACTGTTCTTGCTAAAATCCCAGATGCTCAAGATGACACTTTTACAGATTTGAACTGACTTAACTTTTTTGGACTTCAGAAGGATCTTCATTGGTTGATCTCCTTGAGATAGAGTCGACTACAGGAAGGAAAGGTAAATGTAATTGCTTTGAAAATTTTAATTCTGTGACTTGAAGCCACCAACATACCAAACTTGCCTGGCTCATTTCAATGAACCAGACCTCCAGCTGGGCTACATCCCTGTGCAAACTTTGCACAAAATAAACAATCCTTTATAGATTGAAGAGTGGCCCTAACAGTCGACTGACATCCCGAAAGCAGCTGTGCTGGTCCAGGATGAATCCATGACATAGTTCTAAATAGAGAGACCTACAAGCCAACCAGAAAGATGCTGAGGCTGTGTCTCACAATGCCAGGAAAAAAAAAATCTAATCTTCCCCTGATTTCATCTACAATGAAATCAAAGACTGGATTTCTGGAAACATCTGGGTGACTATGTAGATTTTTGCAGTTTTTCCTCAATATTTGGTAACATTTAGACACAACCTAAGTTTCCTAGACTCAAGCCATTCCCTACTGTTAAAAACACTTTTTTTCTCCTCCCCCCATAAAAATGGTCTCATTGTTCTTTATTTAGTCTAACAGAAGGATCCATGTACCAGCATTGCCTTAGCTTTGCTTGGCTTCAATTATACAAACTAACCACAGTCAGTTGGATGGCAACTGCCGTAGCAGTGTGCCTGCCCTCTCCAAATTCATGAGTGGAGTTTTTCCACCCACAATGTCAGGTACAGGATATGAATCGAGGATCAAAATTCTCTAGTGCAAATGGGGGGAAATTCCAATGAAATAATACTGCTTCTAAGATTAAGATATACCGACCTGCTCCCCCATACACAATAATAATAAAAACTACCAGGTTTTTAATTGATTAATAGCTATGATCCTGGCACCATACTAACATCCTTACATATAATCTCATTTAACACTTTACCTTCTAAGGAGGGCAATACAGAATTCATCCATAATTTATCAAATTCTTAAATACTCAGTGACGTTTCTCCCTTACTTTTTTTCAAAATCACAGTTTGTTTTAATTCACTTGAGCTGTTGGTCCTCTCCTGTTTGCGGTCCCTGAGGGCTGTCAACTCCCTGCTGCCATGCAATACCAATTACATATTTTCAGACCACTAATCTCTCTCCACCCCACCAGCTTTCCTGCTTCTGACCACAGAGTGACAACATCAGCTGCAGCATGCCACGGAAAACAGGACTCAACATTTCAGGAGAAATAGCTCAGCTAAGAGAGTTTCCTGAGTTGTGAAAAAGCCTCTTAACACTTCAATATTGCATTAACCTCAGTCTTCACCTGCTTTTCTTTGGGTCACAGGGATCATTAGCCAAGTGAACATCTTCCATCCAACCACAAACAGGAACAGGATGATTGCTTTGGGCCCAGGTAGATCTTCTCAGCCTGCCAACAAGGTGGTACAGCTCAGGGGTCAAAGTAGCAGAGTGGGAATCCTGTTTGCATGACAGTCAGAAAACCAAGATATTGTGTGACCCTGAGCTAGTGTTTAACCTTTGGCTCTGCCCTAAGCCCAGTCAGAGGTGCCTTTTAAAAACAATTAGATATGGGACCTGGGTGGCTCTGTCAGTTAAGCGTCCGACTTTGGCTCAGGTCATGATCTCATGGTTCCTGGGTTCAAGCTCTGTGTCAGGGTCTGTGCTGACAGCTTAGTGCCTGGAGCCTGTTTCGGATTCTGTGTCTCCCTCTTTCTCTGCTCCTTCCCTGCTTGTGCACTCTCTCTCTCTCTCTTCCTCCTTCAAAAATAAATAACAAACATTAAAAAAAATTTTTTTAATACCAATTGCATAACTCCTAGCCAAATATAAAAGAAAATACTTCCAAGAATAAGAACTGGTCATTATCTGTTTCTGTTAATGATTCAGTCATATAGTTTGTAACCATATTCAAACACAACATCTATGGAACCCTATCAAGTCCGAGGGTTCTTTCCTGGCTCAAAAAAGATATCTCTGACAAGACTGAGGAAATGTTTTATCTTAGAATTCTGACTGCACAATCCCTTTAAAAACATCATATCATTAAGCATAGGTACAATATTCTCTTAATTTTTCCAGTGTTCTTCTTAATAATTAATGAACACCATTTGTCATTCTCTGAGACTTTGATCCAGATCTTATGAGGATTCTAAAGTTTAAATAGGGCTTAAAGGTTTGTAAGTTCATTACAGTATGATTATTTTATTACATTTCATTTTCCCCTCTTTTTCCTTTAATCTAAAATGCATTTTCTTCTCAAGTAGTATTTTCTCCTATTTTTCTGTATCTTAATGCCAGAGTGAACACAGAATGAGTTTTCTGGTGACATCTCACAAACCACTGAATTTATCCATCTTTCATATATTTCTGTATCTAGACCTTCCACAAAAGTATAGGAAAGTTGTACTTTACTCTTTGTTAGATAGAACCATTTTCAAGGATTCTTTTTTTTTTTTCAAGGATTCTTAATGTGTTTTCAGAAGATGAACCAGTTTTATTAAAAGTCTTGTGGGGTGTTAAGAAAGTAAGTGAAGGGAATTAAGCTTAAAGTATCAAAATAAATCATTATGATCTTTATTTGTTTTTAAAATGGGGAAGTGATATCATAGGGTGCATTAAGATTCAGCCACAACCACATGGCACTGCAGCATGCCATGAATAAAAATTATGTTAATGATCTAAAGCGCCCATATATTGTGCTACAGAATGCTTGATACTGGATTAAACTGCGTGAAGACCCTGCAGGGTAAACCATTCCAGAAGCAGACAGTGCTTCTGACTCCAGTAAATGTTGAACACAGAACCAGAATGACAATAGTTGTTGGCCATTTGTTCAGAGAGGAACTTAAACTGGAACGAAACTAAGGTATAAATATATTTTGTCATGGAGCAAAGAAAGGACTTTTGATAACAGATCAAATAATTTATCCAAATCCAGGGTTAACATCTTAGTTATACTTTCACTGTCAGTATTTTTTCTGAGTGCAAGAAAAATAGATAGGAGAAAAGGAGATGAGTCTGCTTACTTCTTCTGGAGAATGTTCCATTCTTTCACTTTGGAGAGAAATGGCACTTCTTTCTGCTTTGCGGATATATATGATAAGTGGATAACAGAAAAGCATACAAATGGGTGTATTTTCCTCCTTTCTGCTTTTGAAAATCTTATACTTAACCTTATTAAAATGAGAAAAATAAAAATAATATATTATTGCTCCAAATAAGAGTCTGCCCAGAGTCACAAGGAATTTCCACTTACTACCAAGAACTGGTGGATAGATCTTTTCCTTCTACCCTTTCCCAAGGCCAATACAAATGTCACCAGCCAAAATTTCTCTGTATTTCAGCCCAGAATAGAAGATGAAAGCTTTGGGGCTTAGTAGATTTTTTAAAATAACTAAAAAGAGCAAAGATGATTACCTTTTTATAGTAATGTGTTTGGCAGGATAACATGTGTGTGTCCTCCCTAGAGCCCCTCCTCAAGCAAAATATCAGTCTTTTGTACCCCGGCCTCCAGAGATTTTGGCAAGGTCGAGAAGCAGAGAGGAAATGATACTTTGAGGTTCAGGAAGTCTAGGAAGAAGGGAGAGGTGGTACAATTTAATAAGCTGAAGAGCCTGAAAAGGGAAGGAGATCTGTGAGCCGTCTGAGCAGTATCCACATATGCTCTGTGACAGCAACCTCAGAAGGTGGCAAGACTTTAGAAGGGAATGGTTGCATCATGTGTCTAAGGAGCCAGAATTGTAGACACTGAGATTCCTAGGCCATAAACGATAATGCTTTGTACCCAAGGATAACACATAAACAGCAGAGTTCCAGACCTGAAGTGGTAATGTAAACTGGATTAATGTTGTAATAGCAGTTCAATTATGGTAGACTATTGACTGATATCCAAACATGCTTCCCCAGTGCTTTAACACCAAGTAAAATCATAAAGTTTTGGAGGATAAGGAAAGCCAGCCATAATGACCAAGAAGTTTGGATTCTCACTATTGATGTGAAAATATTTTAATGTGAGATATTAGTATAAATGTGTTTATTGATTTTACTTTGATGAGAGGCAAATTTTCTTTCTTTTTTTTTCTTCTATAATTTGTTAGTATCAGGATCCAACAAGGCTCATGGTGGATTTTTTAATACCAATGCAAATTTTCTTGATAGATTAGATATCAATATGACAAAATACCAGATACCAAAGTATGTATTCTTGCAAGTCAGAAAACCTTATTTCATTCCCTGCTTCTGCCTTGGGTATGTCCTCTGACCTTGAATAAGTCACTGAAATACGCTCAGCTTCAGGTTCCTCCTTTAAGATGAGAATAAATGTAGCCGTCAGGCTTACCTCATGAAGTCAGTAATGTGTGTTGTAGTGGTACCAATGGTAAGTGTTGATGCTATTGTTGTTTGTTTTGCTATGGTATGTTTTGAAAATGGTACAGTTGCTCTAATAAGATCCACCAATGACTGCTGCCAATACGGCGATTGGCAGACGTTATAATTCCTCCAGCTGGTAAATGTAAATAAACGTTGTAGATATATAAATACGCTTTTATGCATTTGTACATGCTTTGATAAATTTATTAAACAATAGCTACATATAAGCTTAGAGATTATATTTCTAAAAGCAGTACAATTATAAAGAGCTCTTTAAAAATCCATTTATTAAATTAATGAACTGACTAAGGTGTCCTGATTTGTTTTTGGTCATATGAGTAATATTTAAATATGAGTAGACTATATTTTAAATGATATCCCAATAACTAAATGTTGGTGGCAAACTGATTTGAAATAGAGCATGGTGTCTTAACCAAGCAATATTTTTGCTTTAAGTCAGGGAAACAAGAGCTGCAGAACCAGGAAATGTGGAAGGAGCATGGAAAATATTTAATCAACAGTTATCCCTCTACAGGAAAATCACTAGTGTCCATAAAATGAAGCAGATGACAGTGTTGCTCTGCTTCTTAGTATTATGGGAGGAGGTACTCAACATGTAATTTCTTTCAATTTGAAGAGGGGAATGTACATATGCTGAATTCTGGGGGGTAGTGAGGAGGAAGCAAAGGAGGAGTATACTCTACACTGTTCATTCCAAAGATGAATGACATCTAGGAATGTTACTTTTATAAATTATGTATATAAAGGGGAAATGAATGAAACTATTAAACTGTACCTATGAGATTTACCAGACTATAAATTGATATTTTCTTTATCATAATCAGATTATTGTGGAAATGAGACAATTCAGGAAGTGGTTCCTCTCCAGTTTAAGCACTGCCCAACCAGTAAGTCAGCTACCACTTAACAGTAATCTAGAAATCTCTGTATCAGTGTAGCAGGGAGATACTTCCATGATCTTTGAAGTTCTTATTTCTCTAAAAAGAGTGACTCAGCAAAAATTACTTAGTATTCAATGGCCATTCTAATTAAAATCCACAAGTAACTTTTCTTCCTTATTTACTTGTTCTGTTGAATGAAAGGGCCCTTTTGTACAACCACATATTTTTGAGAGACATATGAGCCACAGCACGTTAATGTTTACATATTATATATTTCCTCTCCTCTCAAGGTTCAGATCTTGGCTTCAACACTTTCCACCCAAAAGAATAACTATGTTGAGGCTGAACTAAGATTGACCACACCTCGAAGAATAGAGATGAGGGGCAAAAATTAGCAAACAGTTAAATAGAGGTCTTTTCTCACATTATCTTTGTTTAACCTTGATAAAGTCACTCTGGTAGAAGAGTTGCTCTTTTTAAGTTGAAATAAAGATATGGGATTATCTATGAAAATCCTACTTCTTGATTTTCTGCTCAAAGTGAGGATGAAAGGAAGCATGGAGGTAAAAATAAATCCACTTAAACACAGCACTGATAAAAAAAGACAGCCAGAAGGAAAAGACGTTTCAACATAAGAGATACAGGGTTCACCTTCAGGGTCAACTTGTATGTCCTCCAAGTCAACAACATAGAGGTAAAAAACAGGGCCACAGAACAGTGATAGATCAGGGTTTTTCTGTCTTGGTCCAACAATTGCAGTGGAGAACACTTGGCCCCTGGTGAAATCTCCCCAGCAAATTCAGCAAGACCCCAAATCATGCTTTCATTTTTTTTTCTTGTCCATCCTGTACTCTCTTATTTCCTCTTCTCCTGATTCAGTAGCTTCTATTGTCCCTTCTAAGAGTAAAATCCTCTACTTTGTTTCCTTTTTTGTGGTATTACATTTGTTATTTTTGTCACCAACCTCTATTTCCTCATCGTCTATCAATAGCAACCAAATTTTTATTTTGTGGGAATTCCTTCTCATCCCTTGTCAGTCCTTGTTGCTTATGTAGGATTTTCCCAGTCCTGATATATATTAGCTAATCATGTATATAGCCTATCACACTGGTTACAATGACCCATTCAGGAATGGACCAGTAACCCATTCAAGGTAAATGAGTCATGAAAAGATGCTTGTTCTATCTTCTATGGCAGCAATCATCAGAAGCTGTTTCTCAGCCCCTGGATGGTCTGGCATATAAGTCTGACTGCCACTGCTGTTTTGTTACTCTATAACAGGCCTGCTAGGTCTGAAGTCTTACTCTGCCACCTAACTGTGGTCTTGGACAAGTTGCTTAACCTCCTTGCGCCTTTTTTTCCTTACCACAGTAGGTTGTTATTAAGAATTAAATCAGAAAAAAAAGGATTAAATCAGTTAATTTCTATAAAGTACTTAAAAATAGTTCTAGGCATGTCATAAGCACTACATAAGTGTTTAAGCAAAATATTCCTTTCATCACTCAGATTCTAACTTTTTTTTCAAAGAAAGGGATTCTTCTTTTTCTTAATGTTTATTCATTTTTGAGAGACACAGAGAGAGCACGCACGTGCACATGCACAAGTGGGGGAGGGGCAGAGAGAGAGTGAGGGAGACACAATCTGAAGCAGACTCCAGGCTCTGAGCTGTCACCACTGAGCCCCACACGGGGCTCAAACCCAAGAGCCGTAAGATCATGACCTGAGCCAAAGTCATACACTTAACCCACTGAGCCACCCAGGAGCTCCCATCACTCAGATTTTAAACCTTCTGGTTGTCTTTGACTCTTCCTCTTCTGTATCTGCCATTCACTGAAAATTCTATTTCTTCTGCAACACCATCTTCTTTTTTTTTTCCCCAATTTGTGTACTCTACTAGGCTAGGTCATTATCTTTATACTTGTAGACTCTATTGTTTACCTCATCCATACTTTTTAATGAACACTTATGAAATTTCCTGTTCCAGTATCCCTTTTCCTTCTCTAGGAACTGGCTGGCCTTCCCACTCTTTCCAAATGTTTCCTTAGGAGCTGCCTCCTCAATACAGCATGAGTCATACCTACTAGCCCCAGCCATGGCTTATTGATCAGCAAGTGGTCAACACAGTCTTTTGTCTGGGGTGTTTAGACTTGTAGATCAATAAGAAGATGACATAATTTCCCTCCAGGAGCTAAAGTTGTACAGTGTAAAACTGCTGGGGTAGCCAAGTTTTCTGCCATGTAGAAAAAGTTAATTGTTTCTTTTTTCCTTTGACATTCTTGTAAACTTTAATATGGTAATGTGCTAGGCCATATATCCAGAGTCATTGTGATAGGAAGTATCCAGTCACCTACATATACCTCTCCTTGAGGACCAACTCATGCTTCCTTTCTGCAAAATGGCTTAATTTAATCACATCCACTGTTTTTAAACTGTGGGTACTCATTAGTCTGGGACTGGTCCATAGCGCTGAAGAATTAACTGCTGTGTATTAACAAAATAGACTCTACCTCAGAAGCCTGGATCTTTCAGTGTTTAGTCAGTCCCATATAGCCACTTGAGAGCACTGTGGGATAGTATAGGATTCCTTCAACAACATTTTGCATTGGGTCTTATTTTCTCCACTTTACAGATATGGATGGATGCTCCGTTAAACAACTGATCCAGGTCAGGAAACTGGTTATAGTAGTAAGAGAACAGATGTAAAGGAATCAAAACAGATGTAAAGGAATATCAAGTAAGCTATAAATAAAAGAGAGAGTTGAGCAACAGGAAGAAGCCTCTGTGGCCCCTAGGGTGGGAGAGAAGGGGAGGCGTGGTCTTCCTAGAGCCCAGAATCCAGTGTCACCCAATGAAAGCTGGAAGAACAGAAGGCTTACCAGACCTGCCAGGAGTCTGTACCACAGAGG